AAACCAGCGGGAGCCTGAATAAAACAAGCGATGCAGTTAGTCCCAAAGATCAGACTGGCCGCAGATCCCGCCGAGCGCCGAACTTGACAGTCTTTTGTAGCAGGGCGTCCAGGGCACACGTGGGCACAGGCACCAATCCAAACGAAGCAGCACAGTGACTCTGCAGTGATGACAGTGCCGTCGCTGAACAGTCTCGAAGCATCCGTTAACAGCTTGTCATCGTAGTGGTAACGAACTTGATAGTAGGCTGGCCAGGGAGCGATAGCAGAGCCCGTCAAGCGAGGATGCCGTGGAAACCAGCGGGAGCCTGAATAAAACAAGCGATGCAGTTAGTCCCAAAGATCAGACTGGCCGCAGATCCCGCCGAGCGCCGAACTTGACAGTCTTTTGTAGCAGGGCGTCCAGGGCACACGTGGGCACAGGCACCAATCCAAACGAAGCAGCACAGTGACTCTGCAGTGATGACAGTGCCGTCGCTGAACAGTCTCGAAGCATCCGTTAACAGCTTGTCATCGTAGTGGTAACGAACTTGATAGTAGGCTGGCCAGGGAGCGATAGCAGAGCCCGTCAAGCGAGGATGCCGTGGAAACCAGCGGGAGCCTGAATAAAACAAGCGATGCAGTTAGTCCCAAAGATCAGACTGGCCGCAGATCCCGCCGAGCGCCGAACTTGACAGTCTTTTGTAGCAGGGCGTCCAGGGCACACGTGGGCACAGGCACCAATCCAAACGAAGCAGCACAGTGACTCTGCAGTGATGACAGTGCCGTCGCTGAACAGTCTCGAAGCATCCGTTAACAGCTTGTCATCGTAGTGGTAACGAACTTGATAGTAGGCTGGCCAGGGAGCGATAGCAGAGCCCGTCAAGCGAGGATGCCGTGGAAACCAGCGGGAGCCTGAATAAAACAAGCGATGCAGTTAGTCCCAAAGATCAGACTGGCCGCAGATCCCGCCGAGCGCCGAACTTGACAGTCTTTTGTAGCAGGGCGTCCAGGGCACACGTGGGCACAGGCACCAATCCAAACGAAGCAGCACAGTGACTCTGCAGTGATGACAGTGCCGTCGCTGAACAGTCTCGAAGCATCCGTTAACAGCTTGTCATCGTAGTGGTAACGAACTTGATAGTAGGCTGGCCAGGGAGCGATAGCAGAGCCCGTCAAGCGAGGATGCCGTGGAAACCAGCGGGAGCCTGAATAAAACAAGCGATGCAGTTAGTCCCAAAGATCAGACTGGCCGCAGAAGAGGAAACTACAACAAAGTTAACACAAATATAAAACAAAAATAACAGATTCTCCGTCGCGGCCACTTTGCCTATAGCGGTTTGAGTGTTCGAGTGTTTGGTCCTTTTTTGCCGCGACCTGGCGGCAGAGCTCTGCTCGGTGGTGCCGCATTTAACTGTTATGTTTTCCGCGCGCTCCGCCAACTGCGTTTCGCACTACAAGCGACTCTGAGAAAGTCGCATTTACATTGCCACCGCAAAAGACGGCACCCAGCTGTAGGGCTGTAGTGATGTGGATTTTATGTGTGCGCGTGCAACACATATAGCAGCGGGGAAAAAGGAGAAAAAGGAAGAATAAATCCTGGGAATGGAAATGGCTGCCCCTCGTTCATTCTACACGCAGTTGTAGCACACCGCTTATGCACCGCGACTGCAATTCTACAATGGCGACGAGGATGCTCCAGACTGTCTCCGACTACAGTTCTGACAGGTAACTTCCTTGCACGAACTCACAGCCAGCCAGTGATCTACCAAACTGTGTCGGCTCCGAAGCTAGGCCTACATTCCCACCAACAATGGCGTTGATCCCGGCTCCTCTGCTCATGTTCGACTTGGACGCCACCGACGCCGCTAACATCGGCTCCGAATGGCGACGGTGGGTAACCAGATTCGAAAACTTTATCATTGCTTTTGACGTGAAGGATGACGCACGCAAACGCGCCCTTCTACTTCACTATGCGGGGGAGCGAATTCACGAAATCTCCGAGACTCTCCCTGACTTGCCGAGTAACTTAACATCCGGCCGAGCGCCAGCGACTGTCGTGGCTGATTCCTCATCAGGCACCACTACAACCGTGAGCACGTATAAGGATCTCAAAGACAAGCTCGACGCCTACTTCAACCCACACATGAACAGTACGTTTGAAATCTCAATTTCGGCAGGCGAAGCAACTCGATGGCGAGTACATGAGTCAATTTTCAATCCGACTTCGGCTTCTTGCTCGGAATTGCGGATTTGCTAACCCCGATCTCGAAATCAAGAATCAAATCATATTTGCGACAACATCATCGCGTCTTAGACGGACAGCTTTGAGGCAGGACCTCGACCTTGCAACGCTTCTGAAACAAGCTCGGCTCCTCGAAGATGTCGAACGCTCAACAACAGCCATGGAGACATCAACTGATGCCGCTGTCCACAATCTCGACAAAGAACCTCGCCAAGACCGTGCAGGCTATACACCAAGAAGCACTTCATCACCTCGGCAGAAGCCACAACTCCGAGCACAACACTGTCAAGACTCATCTCCTCAGTGCTTCCACTGTGGTGGCAGTTGGCCCCATGAGGGAGGACAAGCAAACTGTCCTGCCAAGTCGTCCTCCTGCAGAGCTTGTGGCAGAAAAGGGCCATTTCAGAAAAGTCTGTCAGTCAGCCCACAAGCCCATATTTCATCTGCCACGTGACTCTGACGAGAACATCTACGCCATTGGAACCGTTTCGGAGATATCTAACCGTAGCCTTCCGCAAGCTTGTGTAGATATCAACAACTCCCTCGTGCACTTTCTAATCGACACAGGTGCTTCAGTGTCAGTCATCGGGACTCACACCTTAGAAACTCTAAGAACACCTGCTGAGCTGCAACAAGCAGGAGTTCGGATTTACGCATATGGGTCAAGCACGCCTCTACCCATCCTTGGCAAACTAAGCGCCACGCTGACATACAAGGACAGCAGCATAAGAGAAGACATTTTTGTGATGGAGGGTTCAATGAGGTCATTGTTAAGTTTCGCTGCTGCAAACAGACTGGGCCTCATCAAAATCACGTACGCCGTGGATTCGTCCCAGCAAGAAGCACCTCTGAGCCCGAGCGCTGAAGCCACGTCGAGCTCCTTTGGGACACCACTCAAGGCCTTTCCTGAGCTATGTACCGGTATTGGCAAACTAAAAAACATCCAAGTACATCTTCACGTTGACAGGGGAGTCGTTCCAGTCTCTCAACCTCACCGAAGAATACCCTTTGCGCTGCGAAGCAAAGTGGAAGAAAAAATCAGCCAGCTTCTATCCTTGGACATCATTGAAGAAGCAACAGGACCCACTCCGTGGGTTTCTCCAGTTGTAATCGTGCCAAAACCGCAAAACCCTGACGAGATTTGATTATGCATCGACATGAGATGCGCAAACAGAGCCATACTTCGTGAGAGGCATGTCTGCCCTACCTTCGACGACTTGGTCATCGCACTGAATGGGTCAACGTTATTTACAAAACTTGACCTAAAGGATGGATACCATCAACTAGAACTTGACGAAGAATCAAGAATAATAACGACATTTGCGACACACACCAAGCTCTATCGATACAAGCGCCTAATCTTTGGCATTAACGCGGCCGCCAAAGTCTTTCAGGAAACTATTCGCCAAGTTCTTAATGGAATACCTCACGTCCTCAACATCAGTGACGACATACTAGTGTTTGGTAAAACAAAACAAGAACACGACCAGGCCGTAGAGGCCACACTTGTAAGGTTGAAAGAATGGGGCCTCACAGTTAACCCAAAGAAATGCCTCTTCGCACAGACGAGCCTGTGCTTCTTTGGACACATCTTCTCCGCTTCTGGCATTACTGCGGATCCCCAAAAGATTGCAGCATTTAGGGAAATGGAAGCTGCTACTAAGGCGCATGAGGTTCGAAGTCTGCTTGGCACTGTAAACTACAGCGGACGCTTCCTTCCTGATCTCGCGGACCTTACACACCCCCTTCGGCTCCTCACCAAGAAAACTGCCAAGTGGGTCTGGGGACCAATAGAACAGGCTTCCCTGGACATTTTGAAGGGAAAACTCTCTGAAGTACATAATCTCGCATTTTTCGATGGCACAAAGGAGATCATTCTTGCAGTTGACGCATCCCCTGTTGGACTCGGTGCCATATTAGCACAGAAGACAGACAATATCATTGAAACTGTCGCTTACGCTAGCCGTGCTTTGACCCCTACGGAATCACGATACTCCCAAATTGAACGTGAACTACTTGCTGTGGTATGGGGAGTTGAGCATTTTCACCTGTACCTATATGGCAACACATTTCTTCTCCACACAGACCACAAACCACTCGTGTCAATCCTTACCAATCCAAAAGCCTCTCCCTCGGCACGCCTTGAGCGTCTCGCTCTGAGAATTCAGCAATATAACTTCAGAGTGGAACATACGCGTGGAAGCAGCAACCCTTCGGACTACTTGTCTCGCCATCCCTTGCCAAATCTTCCCGCTGATGCCAACCTGGCTCATGCCACTGATGCGTATGTCAACCTTATTGCTCAATGCCATCTTCCAAAAGCTATGACTAGCGCAGAAGTAGTTGAGGCCACGGCTAGTGACCAACACCTGCAGGAAGTGATCGCTGCCCTCAAGAGCCCTGCCAGATGGCGCAACCCAGCTCTCAGGGACTTTGTGTCAATACAGCACGAGCTCTCTGTGGCAGACAATGGCCTGCTGCTGAAAGGTACTCATCTCGTTCTACCCGCCGCTCTCCAGCAACGAGCCATTTCTCTTGCACATGTGGGGCACCAAGGGATAACCAAGACAACCAAGCTCATGAAGCAGAAGGTCTGGTTTCCTCATCTCGATACTAATGTGCAAACAGCTCTGAAAACCTGTATGGCGTGCCAGGCGACCATTCAGTACTAACATGCCGACCCCATCGCCATTCCAGAAAAGCCCAGTCGGCCTTGGGAAGCCCTCTCACTTGACTTCGCCGGTCCATTTCCAAACGGCAAATACCTGATGGTCCTTATGGATGACACGTCCCGCTATCCTGTCGTAAAGATATTGTCATCGCTCACCGGCCAATCCGTCATCAATAGCATCACCAAGATCTTCAGCATCTTCGGAATTCCAAAGGTGATCAAAACGGACAACGGACCCCCATTCCAGAGCCACGACTTCAAGCAATTCGTCCACACGCTAGGATTCCACCATAAGCGTATTACACCGCACTGGCCGCAAGCGAATGGGGAAGTGAAGAGATTCATGCGAACATTGAAATGGTTCATACGAGCGACAACACTGGAAAACAATAGCTGGACCTCCAAGCTGGGCGAATTCTTGATGGCCTACAGGGCAACACCCCATTCAGCAACTGGAACCCCACCTTTCGATGTGCTTTTCGGCAGGTCCATGGGATATCTTCTTCCAAGCTGCTCCAATGACAACCCACCTCGAAGTGGCAAGACACAGATCTCCAAAATCGCACAAAACACAAGATATACGCTGACAAACGTAGGCACGCCCGGCCTCACAACCTCACTGTGGGAGACCTAGTTCTCTCCAAACAAAACCAAAGAAACAAGCTGACCCCTGCTATGATCCCAAGCCATACCAGGTCATCGATGTCAAGGGGACTCAAATTACGGCACGGCGGGATCACGGCATAATAACAAGAAACGCTAGTTTTTTTAAACCCATGCCCCCCACCACGAGCAAAGGATCCGAAGGTGACTGTGACTCGGGCAACGCGTGGTTCAATGTCCACCTCTCTCAAGATGGCTGCAGGGGAACGCTTCCAGACCCGACTGATCGAGAAACCGAGCAACGCCTCGTTCGGGGGGAGGACGAAAGAGACCGATCTGTTGAAGCCCCATGCCCCTGATCCATCAGGAACATCGCGACCGATCCGTACCAGGTGCCCTCCTGCACGACTCAAGGACTACGTCTGCTCTTAATGGGCCTTTCGTTCTGGTCATTTGTCTGCTTCTTGGGGGGAAGTGATGTAGTGATGTGGATTTTATGTGTGCGCGTGCAACACATATAGCAGCGGGGAAAAAGGAGAAAGAGGAAGAATAAATCCAGGGAATGGAAATGGCTGCCCCTCGTTCATTCTACACGCAGTAGTAGCACACCGCTTATGCACCGCGACTGCACTCGAACTCTAACTCAAACTGTTGCCTAGCAACGGTTTGAGTGTTCGAGTGTTTGGTCCTTTTTTGCCGTGACCTGGCGGCACAGCTCTGCTCGGTGGTGCCGCATTTTAACTGTTATGTTTTCCGCGCGCTCCGTCAACTGCGTTTCGGACTACAAGCGACTCTGAGAAAGTCGCATCAAAAGACGGCACCCAGCTACCATTCGCATCATCCAGTCGGCATATGTTCACAGGTTCCCCACATACTTGCGCAGATCACATCCTTGCGCGCATCAAAGTGTGAAAAAAATTCATAATTCTTTTTAATGAAATAAATTAGATTTATTTAATTTAAATCAGACTTACTTCATTTAATTCAAGCTTACATGGTTTAAATCACTTCAGAGACAAAGAAATACAATTTTATAAAAATAAATAAATTGGTATGTTAGTCTGCCTCAGTGGGCGTCTGTAGTCTAAGCTGTAGATGAGCAATGTAGCCGGTGCACTACATCCGCTAGCCTGGGGTCTTGAATGTGCACCGCGCAGTGATGTATACGACCGCACGCCGGTCGTATATTACTCATCCAGATCGACACGGGCAGGGTGGGGGGTCTGGGTTGTGCAGCGCGTGCTTTCGCTCCACGTGCTCCGAGCTGGTGTGCGCTAGCCCACTCGGTCACCGATCCCCCCTTTCTATCACCATACTTCGTTTCAGCTGAAGTCCAGATGCAGCCAATGCTAGACGCGCGAGCTCCGGGCTTTCAGCGTCCCAGCCAAGCACGCGCGCTCGTGTAGTGCAATCAGTGTTCAGGGCCTTTCATTATCGCGCTTGTAGCGTCGGCTGCGTCTGGACTTAGGCTGAAACGAAGTTTAAATGGGCTTATTTTCTTAATGGCTGCTCGATATAAATATGTCCTCCTTCATCATTTTCTATCCATGGGAAGCAGACACTGATAGACAAAGGGTAAATAGAAACAGTTTTCAGTATAGTTTATGGGAAAAGTGTTTGATATAAATTATCATACCCAAATCGGTGCGACTTAAACAATGATTTAAATCACCATTTACACAATCCCGATTTTTATTATCCGCCATGCCACAGATGCATATTCCGGTCTTTCATCAGATGTGACAATAATGTAGGTGAGAAAATGGTCTGGAGAGCGTTATAACTCGCGACATCTTCCTTATGTGAAGCAAAGGCCCCACTTATTTCTTTGTAGTTTTTACTTGTCCCTTGAAAAAAAAGCCGAGACAGTTGCACCAGCACATACGCCTGCCAAAGTGAGGATCATCGTCGGAAACCGATACGCAGGGCTTGCAAATGATGTCATCACGCCACGATTGTGGTCATTTATACTTGTTCTTACGAAGTAAAACTAATTCGGTGAATTGCAACAAAATGTTCAATTGGGCTAGTTGGTTCATGACTGGATAGAAGCACCGAAGAACAGGGACACAATAAATAACCGACAACACGCAGCAGCTATCAAAGAGGCACCTTCTGGGCACCTGGCCGTGCATTGCGATCGATGCCCATGCACCGTCTTGTTTTCAAACACAACATGCATCCTTGCACGATACAGCAGAAAATCAACTAGGGAAATGCACGAAGTGTTTGTGATCAAAACAAGGGGCGCCGATAAATGCCTCTGTGAGCCGTCTGTTGCACTGTTAGATAAGGCAATGTTATTTTGAGAGAGAGTGGAGTGGCCGGATGGGACGTGGTTTTATGAAAGTATTTCAGTGAGTGTTTTTCTAATAAACTTTCAGTTGCGAGTGCGCTTTGTGTTGTCGTTATCTTCTCCACTTTCTTCCTGTCCTTCGCGTTTCTATCCAGCCAAATTCGGTGACGCGAGATGTGAGGCCGCGAAGGAACGGGCTCAGCAGCAAGACCACCACAATGACCGCTAATGTGACGTAGGTGCAAGCCATGTATAATATACGTTGAATCGTCAATAGAACTTTGCCTATTGTCTCATGTTCTCGGAAATTAGCGCCACCAAGAAATTTCGTTGTCCCTCTCACTCCAAGACGCTCAGAACAGACGACGAAGTCGGCGCGCACGAAACAAGCGCGTTGGCCCAAGAGCGCGAGACCGCGTGTACCACTGGTACCGCGGTCTCGCGGCCCATTCGGGCCCCATTTGGAACGAGCTCCTACAGGGAACGGACGTAGGCTGGGGCCAGCTGGTACTCTACGAGCCGCCAAGCAGTCCTGAAGAGGAGGCCGCGATTTGCCTCCCGAGGAACAACTAGTCCACGCAGGGAACAGCTTGTCCGTGAGTACCCAGATTCCATACGGGCCTATGCCCGCCTAGGTTGACCACTTGCGTTTGTTGAATTTTGAGAGTTTTCTCGGCGGGCGAGCTTCCGAGTTTCCGCGGTTCGAGAGCGTTGGGATGGATAGAACTCAAGCTTCATTTTGAGCGCGCGAACGAAGCTTTCTATTCGTGAAGATGGGCTGGTCTGGGGCGAGTACGAACAGGAAGTTGCCCGTAGGAAACCGCATGACCATCTTCTCTGGCGTTATATTATAGGAGCTTGAGTGAATCGTTTTGCGTTCTGACTACGATGCCAAATGTGTAGTACAGTGGCGAGGTCCCAATGCGTAAGCACTGCATGCACCATGGTTCCTGCGCAGCATCTGATATTTTAATGGGAGAAAAAAAAAAAAAAAAAACGAACTTCTAAAACTCCGTATTATATTTTAGGACGTTATCGGGATTCCAGTGTGAGAATCCCGGAGTGGCCACATGACTACCGAAAAAACGAAGGGTGCCTCCTGAGCGTCTTCGCTCCGAAGTCAATGAGATGGCGGCATTAGCCGATTATCGGGTGTTTCAAATAGCAGCCAGGCTCTTTAAATGGACCGCAACGTTCTGCTTTTTAACCTATCGCGCTACGATTTTGTGAACCGTTAACCGCAGGTGGTTTATTTTTTCTATGACATTTGCAAAGAGCGAACCTACCTGGGGAAAAAGTAAAGAAAGAAAAAGACTTAACTGCTATGGAAACCCAGCCAAGCCACTGGTATTCAATCAATAGGGCGCCCTATTGTTTGAAGACCTGTGACTTGGCTGCTTTTCTGTTGGAGTCAAGTTTTTTTTTCCTCAAGTAAGTTGTGCTCTTTGCAAATTTTACAGAAAAAATGCACCCCCTGTGGGCAACCCCGCAAAAAATCGTAGCGTGATAGGTTAAGAAACGAAATTTTGCGATGGCCGCTTCTCGAAACACCCGGTAGAAGTAGAACGCCGAAGAACGCGAAGCTAGCAGCGTGAACATACGAAGCCCCGCGTTTCTTCAGCTGTCGCTGACTATAGGTTCTATCCTTCATTTCTATTTTCCTATAGACGACTGCTAACGGGGCGACTAGCCGCCACCATGCTCGCATGCGGGCACGCCAGTGGAATGAGGAGAGCAAGTCTTCTTGCGCGGGAGTTGTGGTGACGTCAGAACGACGTCGAGCTCTGACTGGCTTTGATTGAAAAGATACTGCAGGAAGACCTCAATCCTACAGATGCCTCGAGGTCTACCCACTATTTTTTCCAATCAGCCAATAAGAGATCAGCGTTCTGACATCATTTGCAAGCCCCGTGCAAGAAGCAGACGAACTTGCAAGCTTGTCAAACCTACACTCGCCTACACGCTGCACGTGCTTGCACGCGTGGGGCGCCAGTGGGGGCTCCATGCTTGCAATAGACCTGTTGCTAAATTACCCAAGCATCAAGGAGAATGCAGGGATTGGTGTTCCACGCGCCGCACGTGCTGGCCTCAGTAGTAACATTTCTGAAGCAAATGCATAAAATAAATTGCATCTTCCACGCACGTTCGTCAACGCTTTATTTGGGTTATTTACTTCGAATCTTTTATACGGGGAAAGCGTGCATGTGTGTCGCGTGGAACACCAATCCCTGCATTCTCCTTGATGCTTGGGTAATTTAGCAATAGATCTATTGCAGTCATGGGCACGTTACCAGTTAAAAGTAACAGTGTTACAGTTACAGTTACCTAGGGAGAAAAAGGAACTCTGTTACAGTTACAGTTACCGGTTTCAAAAAGTAACGTTGTACAGCTACAGTTACTGCAAAAATAGTAACGCCGTTACTTTCTCGTTACAGTACAAAAATTGGACAGAAGTAATCACAAACCAAAACAATGTTATTTGAGTTGTTACACTATAGTGAGAGGAAAGGTAAACTGAGAAATTAGAAAATTTTAAACCCGAAGGATGTGTATTTGTTGCGTCATTCACCGTTTCAGCATTCTGATGTGCCTAATTTATTTGCAATAATTGTTATAACTTAGAATCAACCGTTTTTCAAAATGGTCATCAGCCCGCGTCAGCGAACGCTTTGGTTTATTTTTCCCTCCGAAACGAATGAGGAAAGAGATGGTCACATAATTACCTTATGGGATAT